GGTTGTGACTATTACTTTTTGGCGCCTAAGTAAGTATGCCTTAGAGTTATTTAACAGATTATCTATGCCACCTCTTGAGTGGTACTGATTAATCTGAGTGACTGATTCAACGACGCCAATTGATGTTGGTCTCTCGCAGCAACTGACCCGTATCGTGGTCGACCTCTTCTTGGTGTCACGTTGCTCGCGAGTCTTGTCACCTTGAAAATATTTCATGCTGGTCATGTGAATGCCAACGCGAATTCGGTTGTCCAACTTCGGCAATACCTTAACAAGAAGACAATTTTTACGAATTTATCTCGAAAATTATAGATTATTTGATGCTAATTTTAAGCTAATGGACAAAATGTTTTCACGCCTAGCTTTGAGAAAAAAGCTTTCAAAGTGTCGAAAAATAGGTTTAATGGTAATGAAGATTCAAATCGTCTGATGGATTTTACCTCATGTCGATGAGTTTAGTAGAAATGAGTGAAAAAATCCCGGAAAAGTAAACAAAAATTTATTGAATAAATAATTTCAACAAAAATCCTTGCAATTTCAAATTTCACCTAAACTTACTTGCGCTTTAACGCATTAAAATGAAATTAAAAATCAAACTATTATATTTCTTTTTTAAATTGAAAACCAATACCTGCTATTGGGGAAATTGCCTTTTTTACATAAGTAATTTATAGAAAAATGCATGACATCCAAAATCTTAAAAATCATTCCCCAAGATTGGTTCCTACAAAAAAGTTGTTTCAAGAAGAAAACTAAGTTACAAATACATACATATCATTTTGGATTTAACATACTTAATATAAATATCACTATTGAATTCGCACAATTAAGTATATTATTTTTTATTTATTTGCAGGTAAACTTCACACATACATACATATGTATTTCCTTGAATGCAACTGAAGGTAAATGCTATCTGATTTAAAAGAGCAAAGAAACGAAATGTTTGTGCGTTCGGAAGCCGTGGACTATTTCGTTTGTTAATAAGGCCAGTATGCAGCTCTCAAGAAAACGGTCAAGAAAAAATTACCATTAATTCGTGTGTATGTCCCGAAGAATTTTGACATCAGATACTTCACAGCCTGTGGCCACCTTCTTTCCTCAAGATATAATAGAACGGGCATATATTTCTGTTGCAAACATGGGTTGCCTTGTGGTCTCTTTTCACAGAAACTTTAGAAACCCATAGTAGAAAGCGTAGCAAATTTCTTAAGAATTAAGGAAATTTGACTTAAGAAAATTTCTTAGCCATTTATTGTACGTTATTTTATATGAAGGTTTTGCTTTTCTTGTGAGCTGCATACTGGCCGTTAAGAATCGTGTATTCTACGTAAAAAGGAAGTTATAAACTAGGGAAAAATTTAGCTGAAACACCCAACTAAGTTTTTAGCATGCATGTGTACGTATTGTTAAGTTACAACGATCATTATAGCAAAAACCAGTTTTGTCATTGTTTTGAATCATGGATCATTAACAGCACACATTGTCTAAAAAAAATCTACATGTGCAGATTTATAGCCCATTTAATTGCAAGATTGAATTTACTCAAAAATCCGGTTGATTTTTGATAACTTTGTTTTAATCACGCATTACCTTCCACAAAAAGTATGAAGCTATGAAAATGTATGTAGCAGTGCAGCTTTTCATTTTAAACAACTGTAGCCAAACGCAACGCTACACATGCCAACATAAAACATTACAAATGGCTAGTTGTTTCTGAGCAGTAAGTCAGAAAATTCGAAATGAAAGGACATACTTATATGTACTTGCAAATTTGAGGTGCCTTAATTTCCTTGACCAGGCAGTCTTCAGCCATTTTCTCCACGTTTCTCCAGATTTCCATAAATTTTTAGCTAAGTCACACCCCTGACGCACTCTGGCGCAGATTATCTTTCACCATAGTAGTGGACAATTCACCAAAGCCTACCACTTCAAAGTTCCACCTTATTGGTTTTTGTCCTAGCTACAAGCAGAAACAGAGTGCATGGTGTAAATTCACGCAAGCCAAATAGATATGTAAGGTGAAGACGATGATTAATATTTCTTATGCCATGCCGTATTTTATTTTTATTTTTTGCATGATGCATTTCCAAACAGCAATTTACGCAACTACTGAATCTCGGGATCTTACCGTCTTGCATCAATATCAACATTAACAGACCTTCTCTTCTTGTTACCGAACATTTCGTAATCGGGAAATTTCGTTACCAAACATCGACACCACTTGTAACCGGAATTCTAGGTACCTTGGTAACGTTTTAATTTATTCAGCAATTCAGCTATGCAGTTTTGTACAAATTCTGTTGTTACATATTGCACGGGGCAATATTTTGTTACCTGCTTATGAGATGGTAGCAAAATTTACCAGTTACAAGAGTGCGCAGAATACAAAAAGGGTCTATATACCGGTAATAAAATCTACAATCTCATAAAAAGGTTACAAAATTTTTCCTGTGAAATATGCAACACCAGATTTTATACAGAACTTCATGGCTGAATTGCTGAATAGATTAAAACGTTACCAATGTACCTAGAATTGCGGTTACAAGAATTGGGTAATTTTTTGGTAAAATGTTCAACATGTTTGGTTACAAGCAGAATATTCGTGTAAGACTCTTCATTTAAGACCTATTTATCACCTTCATAGTCTTTGTTTATAAATTTTCCTAGGAAATGCTCCCAATGTGATCCCGCAGATTTGGAGACTGTAACTCCAAGCAGTGTTGCCAGAGAAAGTCCCCTGAAAATCTTAATTTACAAAAATCTTCAAAATAAGATTTTAAGGCAAACATAATTTTTCGATCCCAAAAAATCTTAATTTAAGTATGCCTCCAAAGAGACGCATAATTCGAAATTGACTTTATGGCTCTAAATAGCCTTTATTATGTCGACTGAAAAAAATTTACAATTTCAAGTTATAAATCCTTTTATTATCAATAGGGCCCGGGTTTTTATGCACTAAAATATCAAAAATATGCACTAAAAACACAAAACTATGCATTAAAAACAAACAAAATATGCAAACGAATTCTCGCATTTGTTTTTCTTTTTTAATTTCATTTATTTGCTATTCATATTTCCTTAACACAAGGAGTTATGTAAGCGCCACGAAAAACTCAAAATTAATTAAATAAATATCTAAAATTTTTAAATATGTGTGTATTAAAAAAATAAGCACTTAAAGTAAAAGGTAAAAAATTCATTTACAATAAATTTAAAATACAAATTTATTTTCCTTTTTTTTTATTTGCTTTGTTCAGGGCTTTACTGGCAAACAAGATAAATAGTTCTTTAAAATTTTTAAAGTTAAAGTTTTCCCTATTTGGCCGCAAAAATGTTTGTTTTTCTACGTCAACACTGGTGTTTGGGGCGTACTTGAAGCAAGCTAGTTCATTGGAATTATAGCTATTAAGCAGAGATCACACGATTTGTACATTTGTACATTTTGGCAGTCACATGGTGGCATTGTTTAGAAATTTTAGTTCAGCTCAATAAAAGAATTTCCAGACAAGACAACACCACTTTTTAACTGCCAAAATGTGCAAATCTGTACAAATGTACAAGTCGTGTGATCCCTGCTTAACAGCTGTCACTGTATTTTGCCGCCCCTAACCAGGTTCCTCATTTCGTTAATATTGGCGATATATGTAGGTATACATGATCTTAAAAGCTTCAACGCTCAAAGCAGATTTTAAAAATATTTTTTTCCATTCGATATCAAATCGTCCACTCGGAGCATTGCGTACCAAACAAGTAACGTGCAGTAACTTTGGGTAAAATACCTCCAGCGCTTTTGCTGATTATACCATATCGAGCCCTAACCGCCAAAAAAACCAAAGCGACATATTTTTCAAAAATTATCTTTTTGATGCAGAAATGCCTCTAGAGCATCTAAATGCAATTCTGCATCAAAAAGAAAATTTAGAAAAAAAAATTCCCTTGCGGTTTTTTGGCGATTAAGGCTCGATATATTGGCTCTGCGTAAGGACATCTAAATAATTGTAGCCGAAATCAGTACCCAATAGTTGTATGGAATCATCAAATGCTCTTGCAATTGTGTAGTGATTCGCCCGTTCTGGAAAAACGGCGTTTAATAAAAAATGCAATTATATATATAGGTATATACCTCAGCAGCAGTCAGTCATCATATGAGGATCACATCGGCCTAGGATCCAAGATCCTCAGGGAATTTGTCAATATGACTGTGGAGATAGTGCACTTTAATGACATAAGCTCTCTAGAATGTCGTTTTCGATTTCGGAATATTTACATTACTTACAATTTCCCAGAATGTCTTTTATTAACTTAAACAAACGAAGTCTACGCTAGACATTCCAAATCGTAAATTGCGGTTCGAATTTTTTAAACACTTTATGGGTGCTAAATCCTCTATAGCGTCATCGCGTGTTCCTTCGTCAAGGTACGTCGGTACCCTTCACTGGCTATTTTCAATCCGGCAACTTTTTTAATTGAAAAAGATGCTGTTTATAAAAGATTTATGTAGGTCAGTAATTTCGTTTCTTAATAAGAAATAATTTTTGCTTACATTAGTTGGTGGGAATGGAATTTTATTAAAATCGATGTGTACCTTATGTGCATTTCTCTGAAATCGGATAAAATTTGCCACTCCCGCCCACTAGTATGGTGGGAGGGGGCGTGGCTGATCGCCAATCCACACAATTTCCTATATATCTCGGGGGTTTTAATGCAAAAATAGATATTGCATCAAAGTAGTGCAATTTAGGAGGATCGTTACGGGTCCTTGCCACATTAGAATCCAGAATTCGGATGGCTGGTGGGCGTGGCAGTACACCGATTTTCCCCATCTTTCAGACCTAAGTTACAAATCGAATTTCATAGAAATCGAGTGCAATCTACCATAGCCGACCCCCTTGTATCGTGGTCGTGGCAGTCCGCTAAGTTCAACCACTTTTCATATTTATTTATAGCAAAATCGGAGCACATTCACTACCTTTTGCTACATTTTTTATGGAGCTCTTCCACTGTGCGACCTGCTGAAGAGAAAAGGATCGTGGTGGTTTCGAGAATTTTAATTAAATAAGTCTCTAGCTATCTAACTTGCCGCAATCTGGAGAGAGAGATGTTGGAGCACATTCTGTGTGCTTTTTCGGCCCTAACTATTTAGCCAAATATTATTTGATTTCAAACCATCCACAGCCGTCAATTCCAGCCACAAGTCAATTTCAGATTTTAAAATAGAAATGGAAGGTCTAGGTACTTCATGAGTAGCAAATCATCATTTGTTAGAAAATGACGACAAATAAATGAAAAAGAAACATGCTACTTCCAAAACGTTTCATTTATTAATCTATAAACTAGGCTTAAAAGCACATTATCTTATAGGTATCGAAATTGTGACTCGATATGTACAATGCATAAAATGACTTACCAAGTAATCTTTGTTGAATCGCCACTAACTAAAATTATGTATGTACTTAATTCGCAAATAATATAAATTATTTAAAGTTAAAATAAAAAGTTGTGACTAAGAACAAAGCAAGATTGAAAATACAGGCAATTAAATTAGTTGGTGAAAAATCTTGTACAATTTATGTCATTTAAATTTATGATGTAATTAACTAACTAGTGACTAAATTGAAGCTTTTGAGGATTAAGTGTATGTACACTCAGCATCTGTATTTAATAATAAGCTGCGGTTGGATTATCGAAGTAAACTGATCGCCTTTCATACATACTACACACCCCCCAATGTTACGACACCGCTGCCAAATAACCAATCCAATCCAATTCCTTCAGTACCTGCATAAATACAGCGCTTTGAAGTTGTATCCATTTACTTTTTTTCAGTTTTTGCCCTCAACTTTCTTGTGTCCTTCTTCCGCTTTACCGTCATTGCTAGGAATCTAGCTGGAATCTTCACTCTTTTTCGCTGTACTCCCCACCGCTTCGGTTATATTGCAAATAGGGTTCACCTCGGACCTCACCTTTCGCTTCGCACGCCACTGTGTACTGCTAAGCCACAGCTCTTTTATCATATCTGCGCCCTTCTCGGCGATCATTATCACCGGCGCATGTATGTTGCCATTGGTGATGGTGGGCATAATGCTGGCATCGATTACACGCAGCCCTGGTACACCATATACCCTCAGTTGCGGATCAACAACGGCCCATGGATCATTGGGTGGACCCATTTTGGCAGTGCCCGACATGTGGTAGATGGTCATCGTGTACTGGCGTATGGCGCAGTCCCAATACTCGTCGGTGAATTGTGGCAGATGCTTGCAGTTCGGCAGAGGTTTGCTCCAAAACCGCGAGCCAAAGCGTTTCAATGCTTGCGTCTCGCCCATAGCGACCGCTGTCTTAACGCCCTCGCGTAAAACGTTCACATCGTCTGGATGTGTGAGGTAGTTGTGGTAAATCAGTGGATAGCGCAGCGGATTTTTCGAGGCCAGTTTAATAAAGCCCCGACTCTTTGGGCGCAGCATCATGGGGAAAATGCCGAAAACGTCGCGATCATTCACTTCGCTAAAGACTTCATTGTAGAATTCGTCCGTTAAACCATGCGCGGTCTTAACCTGCGAACCGCCGTCAGACATAACCGACGCTGAGGTCATCATGAAACTGATATCGGGCCAGTCGTCGCTGGCATTAGCATACTTTGTGTTGATGAAAGCAACAGCCTCCAAACCAACACTGGACGTGAGCGGCCCATCTTCGGTGATAGCATAGCGCAAAGCCGTGTTAATGTTAACCATTCGCTTCATCACAATCGAAATTGGGTAATCAATGAGGAATGCAATACCACCCACAGCAATGTGATCTTGCAGATTTTGCCCCACACCATACAGGTGCTGCACCAATGGTATGCCTACGCGTTGCAGCTCATCGGCCGGTCCAATGCCCGATAGCATCATTAAATGCGGTGAGCTGAGCGCGCCGGCGGAGAGTATGACTTCGCGGGTGGCGTAAACGGTTTGCAAGCGCCCATCCCGTATAAATTGTACACCGATGGCACGTTTTGTTTCCGGATGCGTCAATACTTTGGTAACATGTGCGAAAAGCGCCACATCCAAGTTCTTTCGCAGACGCGCCGGCCGCAGAAAACTCTTAGCAGCGGAAGCACGCGAGCCGCGTCGCATGTTGAATTGATAAAAAGCGAATCCAGTCTGTTGTTCACCATTTACATCCACAATGTCGTAGCCTATCTCCTCGCCGGCCTGCAGGAACGCTGGTCCGAGTGGCGTATTATAGGGCGAGTCCTGCACTGTCCAAAGTCCGCCTAGTGATAGAAAAAGTGTGGTCATTATTAATGTAATCTTGTGGCTCGTATTCCGAGGTTTTAACTCACCTGTGCCATGATAGCGTTTATTACGCGCCAGATATGGATTGCGCTGATCCTCCGACTTGCGGAAGTAGGGCAATATATCCTCATATGCCCAACCAGGATTGCCAAAAGATGCCCACTGATCGAAGTCGCGTCGATTTCCACGTATATAGAGCATAGTATTGAGCACTGAGCTGCCGCCTATGACTTTGCCACGCGTCCAACAGCAGCGGCGATCTTTCATTGCCTGACAAGCCGTGTCCTGCGGTTGGGTGCTGAAAGGAGAAGAGAAAAAATGCTAAATTTTAATGCAATTTAATGGGAAAAGAGTAACTGAAATTTAGTTCCACCTTGTTTTTCTAATATAGGGGAAGCCATGTTTTACGCGAAAACGGCATATTTTAAAGCTGTGATAAATTAACCGGAATAAAGCTACTTATTCTTATTTAGAAATGTCAAACGAACTTAACACTGATTAGTATATTCAATAATATCTGCTGAGCAATTTGGTATTCAGAAATTCATAAGTTCGCTCATTACAAATTTGAAACTAGTTTTTGAAAATTTAAAATGCAAAATCCAATATAGCGTCCCAGATTAAAAAAAAAAGATTGAATTTTCGGGAAATTTGGTAGTTGGAATGAGAAAACTGAAGTTTTGGAAATGACGAATTTCGTATAAAATAAAAAAATAAAATCTTGAAGAAAAACTGTTGAAGCCTGGATCATTGTTGTTTGGGCTTAACATATAGTTGACGGCCTCAACTATTTTTAATTTATAAATATAATTACTGTTATTATTTCATAATTTGATCATAAGTTCATTTAAGGTATGTACCCTCGTATATAATAAATAAAGTTTTGCTAAACAAATATAAGTATTTTGTTACTCAACTGAAAATTACAGTTTGTTTGACAGTTGTCAACCGAAAAAGTTTGAATGTGATACAGAACTCGAGATCAGTGAGCCTCAAAACATAGTACGCTTAATTCTTGGGAAATTTTTTTAATCTATGTTTATGTTTATTCAGTCAATGGAAATACATATCCTTACAGACTAATAATATTTAAATTTTATATCCTATAAAAAAAAATGAAAATATTATTAATATTATTGTTCTTAATATATTGTCCGCCACCTGCTAAATGACGACTTTAGCTATTAAATTATAAAAACCTGTTAGTGTTTTGTAATGTGACGAAATTTCTGAGTATTCTACGAGCCTAGGAATTCAAAGACGTATTTTTGGAAGACGTCTTATCTGGAGACAGATGCATTGAGATGTAAATACTCTTTATCCTTTTCCTCCAATGAAATCCCTTCCAAACTTCACACCAATCTTCCAGCTCTGTACTTACTAAAGACACCCACATTATTTCCATGGTGCATTGTAAAACCTACTTGTTCTATTCCAGTGGTAAAAGAAATGGATGCAGTGATGCACTGTCAAATCTAACATTCTTCTCTGGAACTCTATAAAGATAATGTACGTTTGTGATATTTTCACTATTTTCCCTGCCTATATCGTCTAATCTATCACTCGTTGGCGTCTAGCTCAACTAACGCTAGGCGCGCTAAACCTGCTGTTTCAACGTGATTGGATTAAAAATAAAGGGGTTTTAGCGAATTGGGTGATTGGCGACAAGTGAAGAGTTATTGTGTGTGGTATGTGCGGCTTTTAAAAGCCAGAGATTTGCTGGTTGCATCGGGAAATTCAACCTGCTATAGTATTAACACTTTAGTTGCGCCAGAGCTACGCTGGTATCTCCAGGCTACTCTTACTAACGCCTTCCGTCTGCGATTGTTAGTAGTCGCTATGAAGGTGATGTACAAACGATATCAGAAGGCGTTCCGCTGATGTCCAGAGGGGGACCAAACTGGTACAGACAACCTTAGCACGGACCGGCCAATTGCCTTGTTAATAAGGCATTCACATTGAGCCACTAACTCGTGTTTATGGGCCATTTTGGAGTTTAAGCCTTAACTCTACTCTTAAACTCGGAGTTTACCATACAAAAAATTTCGTTAAACTCTCCTTGAACACCACTTTTATTTGGAGTTTATGCGAATGCAACCCTTTTTTTGACCCGATTCGGTTTGTGTCTTTGATAATCCAAACTTGCAACCCACTTGCCGACAGTTAGTCTGTTCCCGTACTGCAGGATTTAATCAGAATTAGTCCGAAGTCGTTCTGTGCACGTAAGTCTAGAATATCAACAATCTAGCGATGCAAAAACCAAAAATGTGGCTCGACAGAACTTTTTGTACTGATTTCAACCCTACCAAAATTACCTGATTTTTTTAATATTAATATCTTATGAACAACATAACCTATTAAAAAACTAATGACGTCAAAATAAAGATAATTAATTTTTCTTATGTATGTATCTAATTTATATGCCTTTTTATATTTTTAGTCCAGAAATACTAAAAAAACAAAATAAAATAAAAATATATATTTTTAAATATAGTTTATATAAAATTAGTTCTAAAACTGGATATAGTATATACCTTGCATAAAAGTCATTTAAATTATGTTGAAACTAGCATCAATAATTTTTTAATCGGTTAACTAGTTTCCGAGATATTAAACACATAAGAAATAGTTAAGTTGAACTTTAACCTCTTTTATTGGCTTTGGTTTTATTTGCACCAAATAATTTTGGTATTGTTGAAATTAGCGTAATAAGTTCTATCGATCCTTATTCCATGTTTTTTTTTTATAGCTAAACGGTTGGTATTCTAGACTTGTGTGTTAACTCCTGTAGTACGGGAACAGACTAAATGAGAATAAGAAAAAGTAAACAAAAAAATATCAAATTAAACTCTGAGTTTCTTAAACACCCCAATGTGAACGCTTGACAGTTGTTCATAAACTCAAAACGTTAAACTCGAGTTAATGGCTCAATGAGAACGTAATATAAGTTAATTACAATTCCAGTTTTGAGCGCGGAGGAGTAAACCAAGCCATTAAAGGTGGCCCGTAAAAATTTCGAGCTATTAATCGTCGGTATTACTGTGCCGTCTATGTGGATGCCTATTTGAAATTTGAACACAGGTCATCAAAACTTACTTATTATTACCCTTTAACTTCATGCATTAGTTTTGCGTTTTCAATTTTTTTTTCTAGTTAATTGATCGAAAAGATATTAAACATCTTGAAATTATTACACCACATAAAGTACTTTCTGACACTGGTGTATTAATTTTGCCGCTACTCGACCAATTGCCAGCATTGGTAAATGATGCAGACATAATTGAATTTCAATTCCGCAAATTGAGGCTGAGTGAAGGTAACTTCAAAAACTGTACCAATATAGAACGTTTTTGGGATCAAGTGAGTTTCATTAAAAATGGATTTGGGAAGCGGCCTTTGCATAATTGTGTGACTTAGTTCATAACATTTTTAGTCTGCCTCACAGTTACGCAGCAGTAAAGCGCAAATTTTTTGATTTAGCATTAATAAAAACGAAATTAAGAAACAAATTATAATTTAAAACTTTAAATAATATAATGTTAATATGCAATAAAAAAAAAATCGTTATAAAAACTGAATTGGCATATTTTCTTGACAAAGAGGAATAAACTCCACTCAATTTCCACATGTAATAAAAATTGGTCAATTTTTTACCATTTGGGTAATTTTTTTGGTCCGAAAAATAAATTGGAAATGGCAACCGTGGTTATCAATGCCTGGTGGCTGAGGAATCATTGATACGGCACAGGAAGTTTTGATGTAATTATGTGGGACTTTAGAGCTACCTAAGCAGTAAGGTCACTGACGGCCATGATTCAGATGCCACAAGTTTTCTATTACTTGAGTCCCTGCTATTGTTATATCGAAACACAGTATTCAGTGCGACAAGAGCATAAAAAGGAACTTTATGGTAGACGAAAAAGTTCGATGCAAAATAAAGTTTAGTAAAAAAAATGTATTTTCTGGTTTAAAGAAGTTCATAATACTAGTGGCAGAAATAAAAGAAGCGCCTTATTTCGACCAGTTTTGTCTATATTTCTTTTGGTTATGCAATATTAAATTATTTTTTTATAAAAGTCTACCTCATATTACATATAATTAGCTGCATGATTTTTAATAAAAGAACTTTGTGATTTCAAAGATATGATTAATTCCAGAACTTATTTAATAAATTCAGTGCAATGTAGAACAAAAATACGGGTACCACACACAAGGACAAATAGGGGTTGAAAATGCCCCTTTAATCTATTTTATTTTTTTAAGCTAATAAAGTTAGTCCTTAGCATATTTTTTTTCAAAAATAAGAATTGCCAAATTTCAAGGATTTGCAAGAATAAAATTATAAAAGGGCATTTTCAATACGTATCCATCCCTGCAACAAAATATTTAATCTGTTTTAACCAGAGGTCGAAAATATCCCTCTCCACTTTGAAAGTGTCCGAAAATAACTGTCACTATTTAAGAGAAAAAATAACCCACAAAATAAAACAGGTGGTTTATTTTTTGTAGATGTGTGCTCCTTTCAGTGGGAAAGGTTTATTTGCATATCTTTTCCGTTGCTGTTGGACACGGACACTTTTCGCTCAAAGCGGAAAAATAAGTGTTAGAGCGCGGTTACCCACGAACGTCCTAATATTAGTAAAATTTTTTAATTTACCTTGATATTAATTTTTGCATTTATCTTTACGCATCTTTGTTTTTGTTTTTATTTTTACCTTTGCCATTATCCTTTTCTTTATTAAAAAAATAAAATAACTTATTTTCGGTGTATCATATAATGAATGTGCGCGCTCTTTTCTTTTGTCATAAATGTTCGCACATGTATGTGCACGTATATGTGGTGAAAAGAAATGCCTAATGCTTTACTTCCCCTTATGTACGCCCACTTATATTTTTCAGTTTTACAATAACCCACAAATTAAGATACTTTAAAAGTCCCTGCCAAAGTGTCTTTACCTAAGGGAAATTTTAGCAGTTGTTAAATAACCCACAACGGAAGACACAAAAAGGTCGGTCAGAGTAATATTCCACGGTGAGAAACACTCTTTGCTTGAGAGATGAGTGTTTGTGTCAGTGGTAAACACCATACAAGACACTTGGTGACGGTTATTTTCGATCTCTTGTTTTAACTCTACAGAATTTTCTTTCTAATATAATACCCATACTGGTTTTCTAAATATGAACATTGCACTAAATTTTTAAAATCATTTTTTGAATTACTCATATCTTTTCAATTTCAAAGTTCTTTTAAACAAGTGAGCAGCGCTGTCTTCGGCTATGCCGAAGGCTTCATACCTT